CTCTCTCTCTCTCTCTCTCTCTCTCTCTCTCTCTCTCTCTTTCTCGCGCTCTCTCTCCTTTCGTCGCTTGAAAAAATTATCCGCGACAAAATCAAATCCCTGCTAGTGCTGCTGCAATTCTGTGTGTGTCATTCCTTTATTACCTAGGCAGGAGACCGGGTTCGTACCCGTTCGTACCCATTGGGCTGTTGGTGGGTGGAAGATCCTTTGGAAGCTGGTGTCGTGATTCCTCCAAACTTTCCTCAGAGATCAGGAGGTGCTGCGCCTACGGAGAATTAAGAAAGGGACAAGCCTACAGATGATGACGATACGGTACCTGATATTATTGCCTTTATCCAACGCACGCAAGCGAATTCCATTCTACGAGGTAGGCAAATCGCCATCTAAAACTAGCAACGGCATCTGTTAGAGCTCCACGTTTAGACTATTATGTACAGTAGAAAATTCTGCACGGTCTGACTATTTGTTCAGAGTCCGCAGCAGCAACAATACAGTGAGTGACTGAACACCCAATCTATCCGAACCCGTGCCCCAGGGGGATTTACCCGTCAAAGCAGACGTGATTGGACGCGAAAAATCTAGCTCTTCTCTGGGGTGATCCCTGTCGTGCGGTCAGCTCTCTCGACCTCTCTCTGTCCCCCCCGATATCATAACCATCCATCGCACCTACAGAGCACACCTACCTGTGCTCTTGAGACTGAGACTGACCCTAGCCGATCAGGCAGGGGTCAATTCCCTGCACAAGATCCAAGAATGATTTTCCCCAAGGTTCTTCTCACCATGCCCGCCTGCGCCATGCCGGGCATCCAAGCGCGTCTCTTCGGCGACGGACCCACCTGCATCCGTACCTGTGCGGACATCCCAACCGAGGCTACCTTGGCCGGGATGACTTTCACCATCCTGGGCCCCATCGACTGCATTGAAACCCCGAAGGAAAGATCTTCGTTGAACCCTCGGCGAAACATGACCTCTGAGCCCTGAAGCCTGAGCGAGGCCAACCTCAACAGCTACAACAGCAGTCAGTGGTGCAGAAACTCAGGGAGCATGGTCGAGACAGAAAAAAGAGCGCGCGTGTGTGCGTGCATTGCCCTTCTTTTGAACCGTGGTCACTTCTAGTTTATGTAGACTAGACTACGCATGTACACACACAGTCTAGATATCCCCGTTCTCAGGTTCCAATGTAGGCACCTGCACTGACGTTGCGAAGCGCCCCCACAACAAAGATCCTGCTGCGTCTGTACTGTAGCTGCCCGAGCGCAGGCAAGATGCACATTCTTTGGTTCGGAACACATCGGGTTTGTTCGACACCTAATCGAAACATATGATGACACCCTCTCGAAAAATAACAAAGGAGACCACAGCATCAACCCGTTGCCACATCATCAGTGGCCGGATTCGCTGACATTCATCGTACTCTGGCGGAGATCGATCATACTGTTGAGGCAAAAGCACTGTCACTGCAGTTGCTGTACAGCTATTCCTTAAGCTGTGGCTACAAAGTAGCTGGCATGTGATGCGAGGTTAGGTAGGCAAACACACAGAGTGATCTTATTATCCACACAGACGCCCAAGCTGTCGTCACCTGACGATTACAGACTTGGCAACGCCTTCACAATACCGCATAAACCCATGCAGTAGAATAGAGTCGTTCTTGTTCTGCAATTACTCCAACATGTCCTCTCAAGAACTACGTCATTCTACTAATGCATCAGATCTAATTCTCTCTCACTGTCCTCTCGAAACAATGCTATCTTCGGAACTTCTGACTCAATATCAATTGTTTTGCCTTTCTCAGCTGCGTTGCATCAGCAGCGAATGTTTTCCTTCCAACACAAATTCCAGAATATTGTTCAAACACATACACACACATACACCATCCAACCCTCAAGACATAAAGTCTGATTACAAAGAGGGGAGGTGATCAAACTCCTAACAGCATGCCACGGGCGCGGAGAAACTCCGACGGGTTTAGCCATTTCGTAAAAATATCCGCTTTCTGAAGCGACGTCGATATTTGCTTCACGTCTACGACTCCATCAGTTACCAGCGACCTTACGTGGTGAAACTTTACGTCAATGTGCTTAGTCCTTGGGGTGATACGGAAGCTGCGAGTTAATTTCAGAGCTCCCGAGTTGTCCTCCCACACCACGGTTGCTTCTTCCTGAGTCTGATTTATGGTGTCCAGCAGGTGGCGGAAGTACTTGATGATGTTGCACCCCTTTGACAAAGCCACGAACTCTGCTTCAACGGAAGAGGTCGCCACCACCGTCTGCTTGGATGATGTCCATTCCACCGGTCCACCAGCGAAGTACAGCACGACTCCCGTGGTGGAGTAGCCCTTGTCTAGGTCGCCTGCAAAATCTGAGTCGACAAACGCCGTAATGACGTTTCCATCTTCGGCATCCTCGCCGTTGCGTACACCGATTGATATCGTCCCTTTCAGGTACATGAGTACGCCTTTGAGTTTCTGCATCGCCCTCGGACCTGGTTTCGCAATACTCCGCGTCAGGACCATCATGGAGTGAGTAATGTCGGGTCTTGTGCACCTGCTGAGATATAGAAGCGAGCCTGTGGCGGAGCGGAAATATGTGGTATCCTCCGCTGACAACACCTCGTCCTCCAAGACGGACACCGGTCCAGCCTCAGACGGAGATGTCGTCGGACGCGCGTCGGCCATGCCGAACTTGTCCAACACTGCGTTGGTATACGCTTCCTGTTCCAAAAGAATTGTCCCTGCGGCTCTGTCTCGGTTGATTCCCATACCAAGCAGGAACCTGGCTCCTCCCAGGTCCACCGTTTCGAAACGCTCATTCAGCTGATCGACTATGCTCAGCACTTTGTTCTCGCCCTCCCCGGTCAGCAGAATGTCATCCACATAAACGAGAAGGAGCACATCTCCGTCGTCCAGGATGTACAAGCACGGTTCAGCGGTGCTCTCAACAAATCCGATGTTCAGGAGAAAATCGTGCAGAGTGCCCCACCAGCCTTTTGGAGAAAAACGCAACCCGTAAAGCCAGCTCTGAGCTTCTAGACTTGCCTGGCTCTCTCGCTGTCGCACGAAAATCCTTCCGGGGGAATGACGTACACTGGTTTCGATCCCGGTTCCATCCTCGCGTGGAGGAACGCCGTCCTGATGTCGGCTTGGCGAAGAACAAGTCCATTCTTGGCAGCATGCGCAACTATCAGATGGACGGCTTGGAGAGACGCTACCGGTGCAGCATTGTCGGTTCCGGTCTCAGCTTCGTAAAATCCTTGCACGACGATTCTCGATTTCTGTCGCACAGCGATGCCGGCCTCGTTGTACTTTCATTTGTAGATGTATTTTGACGGGATAATTTGAGCATCGCACGGGGGATCGACCCACTCATAAACGCCGTGGTCTAGTAAGGAGCGATTCTCCTCCTCCATAATTTTCATCCATCCAACGGCATCTGGTCCGTTGACCGCTGCGCGGGAGATTGGTGGATCGGCGGGCATGTATCCTAGTTGGCCAGGTATCCCTTGACCAAGGTTCCCGATCTCACCTCCGATCACCAGTGCGTATTCCGTTTCGAACACCTGCTCCGTCGTAAACAGGTTCAGACCGTCCCGCGGCCTTGTCGTGCGACCGTTTTGCGCACCGCGGGCGGTCCTTCGTCCGGTCCGTCGTTCGGTTCTGCCGGTTCTGGTTCCTCGTCTCTTGTTTCGGCCCCAGTGAAAATGCCGGGCTGGAAAACCTGGCCTTGTTCGGGAAATGGGTCAGACCCGTGCATGGGGCGAGCGACGTCGCGGGCATCTACCTCGCGGAATGACACTTCAGCAGAGTTTGTAATTTTGAGTGGTTCCGCCGGGTCCCAAAGCCGCCACGTCTTGCTGGTTGTATTGTATCCCACCATGTAGGACTTCTTCGCCCTGGCAGAAAACTTATCGTTACGCGAGCGAGCTCTACGTGTTTGAACGCTACGGACCCCCACTCATGCATGTGCTTCAAGCTGCCGAGTGGTTTGTCCTCCCAAACCTCAAGTGGCGCTTTGCCGTCCAGGACGTCAGTAGGTGTGCGGTTCTTGATGTAAATGGCGGCCTTGACGGCTTCCGCCCACAGTTGACGCGGCAGGTGCGTAGCTCCAAGCATGAGGCTACGTGCTGCACCGATGACGGTCCCGAAACCGCGTTCGGCGACAGCATTCCCTTGAGGGACGTACGGGGGGCTTGTCTCCACGGCGATCCCGAAGGACCGACACATTGCTAAGAACCTACCCTTGAAGTCGGCTGCGCCATCGCAATGGATTTTCCCGATGCAGATGCCCTCGGGGTCGGCGACTTCTTTGATCAGGGTTTCGAGCGCGTCAGTCACTTCATCCTTCGTCTTCAGGGGAATGCCCCACCGCATGCGAGACTTATGGTCGGTGAACATTTCGATATGCTGACATCCGCTGTACGATGGCACACCATGTTTCCCCCACAGGTCGAGATGCACAAGCATCATTCGCGTCGGTGAACGGGAGCGGCCAACCGGGGGGTGACTTGCCTTCTTGCTTTTAGAGATATCGCACACTTCGCAGTCACCTGGTTGAATGTTGGTGGTGAACTTGTCCTGCTCGTAGGAGGCAGCAGGCTCCTCGGTTTGCTCTGCTGTGGCAGGCGCAATCGTCACCTGCAATGGGACAGCATGCTCCAACAACGGTAGCGAAGCTGTGGCAGGCGCAGCCAGCACCTGCCCGGCATTGGCATCGGACGCCTCCTCAATGGTCGAAGCAGGCGCAAGCGGCACCTGCTCGGGATCGCCTATGGCAATGTCGAATGATTCCAGCGTGAGGTCTACCTCGCGCGCGTGCGTGAGCCACGCCTGTGTCGTGGCTTCCGCGGTCGTGTTGACCTGCTGCTGTGGTTGCTGTTGTTCACGGTTCGAAAACCGCGTGGCATTGGAGGCGCGAAGCGGGCAGTTCGTCCAGGTGTGTTCCGTAGAATTGGTGACAGTAACTGCATAATAAGCTGTCCCTGTCGTACCCGCGTCTTTGCTGTGAGTGGTTTGCCCGTCCAGAAGACCGGTTGCCGGAAAGACGCACCTCGAGCTCCGGTTAGGCCTGTCCTCCATCGGCCGTTTTATTTTCGATTTTGATACACAAACTTTATTTCTAAACTAATTTCAAGCAATTCCACCTTCTTATTCTCCGTCATACAAGCAAAACGGCCGATGGAGGACAGGCCTAGCTCCGTTGCCAGAAGTTGCGCCGCCATGGTTCTGGTCGTTACTGTTGTTCCCCCTCGACGACCCGTTGTTACGGTCCGACGAGTTGTTCCAGCTGCCACGTTCTCGTCCACCGCGCTGCGCGCGTCCACGGCCATGATGACCGCCGCCCTTACGGAAAGAACGCGCTCCGCCGTGTGTGACGGTATTCAGCGCACGGCTGCTGCTTCCGGATAAGTTCTTCGACGCAATTTTACCACGAATGTTCGCGTGGAACGAAGTGGCTCGCTCTGCGACCTCCTCGAAAGACAAGACGCTCCCAGCAGCTTAGCCGCACAGCAGTCCTATCTTGAACTCTTTGTAGTGGTCGTCCGGCAGTACTTTTAGGAAAGCGAACGTCTTTCGGTGGTCAGCCACAGTATCGTTATACACGGCGAGCTCCGTGCAGATCCGGCGCATGCCTTGAATAACATTGGCCGGGTCAAAGTCGTGGTCCGCAGTAACTGCCAAAGATATAAACTTCTCGTGCAGCTCCTGCGTACGGTATACCCCAGCGGCCTGGTACTTTCGTTTCAGGGTGAGGAAGGCTCCACGACCGTCTCCGTTGTAGGAAGACCCGATAGGCGCGTATGCCTGCACAGTCTGCGAGGCCGCGCTCTGGTAGCCCCCGGTTTCAGATGTGGCGAAGCATCAGCCGTGTAAAGATCTGTCCGTTTTTGTCCTGGTATCCTTCCAGGGCAGATTAGTATGCCGAAGTCTGGTCCGGCGTAGCATTAGGTCCGGGATCCGAGGGGGCTTTCTCCACTCCCAACAGAACCTTGTGCAGCTTGTCCTCCATAAACAAGGAGGTCTGCAGGGTTCGCCAGCCGACGTAGTCGCCTGGGTCACCGCTGAACTTGGCGAATCCTCTACGGATCTCGCCTGACGAGCCGGCAGCCATGCTTACCGACTCTTGTGACTCTGGTGTACAAGCTCGAGCAACTCGAGGCTCATAACCTGTTGAGGCAACAGCACTGTCACTGCAGTTGCTGTACAGCTATTCCTTTAGCTGTGGCTACAAAGTAGCTGGCATGTGATGCGAGGTTAGGTAGGCAAACACACAGAGTGATCTTATTATCCACACAGACGCCCAAGCTGTCGTCACCTGACGGNTATAAACCCATGCATGCAGTAGAATAGAGTCGTTCTTGTGCTGCAATTACTCCAACACATACCACCGTCCATATGTTGCTATCGTCATGGATCCATCCCTCCCTATATCCTCCAGTAGCAGGGGGTATGTCCGCCACTTCGCGTGCCGTCCAAGGTTTTCACACCGCTCCCATCCCTTTGCTCTGTTGATGGTAGCCGTTGGACGTACCATCTTGTTTGTCACAACGCGCGAGAATGTTGAGCTGGTTGGATGGGACACTTATTTTATGTCAAGAAATGGCATCTTCGTCTCGGTCAGGTGCCTACTGCTGTAATGCGAATTTGTTTGGGGTCGGTCGCGTCGGGCGGCATGAACCACGCCAATAATGAAGGAAATTATAACATTTGACATGTTGTTATGCATACCGATACATTAGTCTATTTTAGTAAGCGCGATACATACAAATTAATTGTGTTGTTTTCTCGATACATTCTTGCAATCTCGCCAACACTCACTCGCGATCCTCCTGTAGAAGAGCTGTCTCCCAAAATTATTGTCTTTTGATGATTAATAAGTGTTGTATATTTACTGTATCACTATGTTTTCTATCTATCTGGTGTTATCTGCAGGGCGTGGTCCTCCCTCCTCGTTGTTAACCTCGCTTTGATGTGCAGTCAAGAAATGGCATCTTCGTCTCGGCCAGGTGCCTACTGCTGTAATGCGAATTTGTTTGGGGTCGGTCGCGTCGGGCAGCATGAACCACGCTAATAATGAAGGAAAATATAACATTTGACATGTTGTGCATACTGATACAGTAGTCTATTTTAGTAAGCGCGATACATACAAATTAATTGTGTTGCTTTCTCGATACATTCTTGCAATCTCGCCAACACTCACTCGCGATCCTCCTGTAGAAGAGCTGTCTCCCAAAATTATTGTCTTTTGATGATTAATAAGTATTGTATATTTACTGTATCACTATATCCTAAAGCACAAACAGAAATATCTATATTTATTAGTCGTTTAAATAAAAATGTACAATAAATTAACTTTTTAGAATTGTACTACCTTTAATATGAAAGAAGAATATTAGTCTTCTTTTTTTAATCAAATAATAACATTTTGAGTAAAGTTATCTTTATTTATAGTAAATTATTATTCTATATATAATTACAATAATATCCCGATAAATTTTTATTTAATTTATCGGTATTAAACAAAATGAGTTTGATCCTGGCTCAGAATAGCAGTTGGTACCACATTCATCCCACATCGTTTGCTTTGGAGTCTACGTATGTATGAAGTACCCTACGTAGCGACAGCCTAGTTTTTTATGCTATTGTTTTCTCCGGTAGGTGTTTCCTTGAAATTCCTGTCAGGCTGCTAGTGGCCTATGACTCCCCGCTGCCGCTTGTTGCCGTATTTCGATAACCCTTGGACAAAAGATTCAACAACCCATCCTTCGGGTGTATGGTAGCGTCGTGTTCAAGGTGACCAAATGACTCCCGGAGCATCTCCACGGACTTCTGGTGAGCATGAAGAAGGATGACTGTTAAACATGCCAAAGATGCCGCCATGTGTTCCCCGCGCTGCCTTGAGTGGCCCCCTCTTGCCAAGATAGATTGGAGTGTCGCACAGGGCTTGTAAAACCCTGATTTGCCCCAATTACAGAAACTTGTTGCTTATTGTGGTTTTCTTTACAATGAAAAAACATGTCGCCCTGGTGGATTTGGCCCCGTGACGATGTGCGCATTTTAAGTGTGCACGCACTGCGCGTTGTCACGGCTAACACATGCACAAGCGCCGTCTTGAAACAACTCGAGGGTAGATATGTTTCTTGCTTTATTCTTGTGTATACATAGATTACATCGTCATCATCAGCAACGACAACGACATGATGATCAGTTACCTCTGCTGCCGCTGCTCCCGCTGCTGCTTCTGCTACTGCCTTGGTCGTCTCACATGCACAGGTGGATGATCACGGTGTCGCCTCCCTCGAAGGTCAAGGCTCTGTGAGGTCGGCGGTCATGCGGTACACGGCAACGTCGGTCGTCGTTGCCGACCCTGATGCGGCCAACGAAGTATAAGAATCGGTTTCTTACATTTTATTAGGGAGAGGCACGTCGGGGTTGAGTTTCGAGAGTTTCCTCTTTCTCAAGTTCGCTCATTGACCGGGGAGGCCCTGATGAAGTTCTATCGGTTGAAGTATGCAGTGTTTTGCGAGGAGGGTCGTCTCTGTTAACGTTTTTTCAAATACATATGGTAGCGATTGCGAAACAATCTCTCCCGTCTTCGGAAGGCGGCGCTCCCATCCAAGTACATGGCGTTTCTCCCTGCAACTTGTTGTAAGAAGTTTATTCAATAGGAGAATGCAGATCCAGTTTCGAACGGCAAGGTCCTCACCTCCGCCACGGTCACCACCTTCTGGTGTGCCCGCTCCCTCGACAAGAATATATTGAAAGAAACTTGCCTACGTACGGCTGTTTGCACGACTAAGGCGCTGACTCGCCATCCCCACGCTCTCTCTCCCTGTGTCTGTCTCTCTCTATCCTACACCCCTCCCCCTCCACGTAACGCGCAAATCCAAATGACAAAAGAGCGAGGCCGACCCTTCCGAGACAGCGATTTCCAACGACCCCGAGCTGAGGCGCCACCTGGCCATCCACCGTGCAATGAGCAACATCGAGCGCAACTCCGAGCCTGCCGTCGCCGCCGAACCAGTAACCGACGAGGAGCACTTCTCTCATACCGCTCCGCAAAGCGCACCTTCCACTGCCGCTCCTAACGACAATGATGGCGACACAACCACCGCTGGCGCCAATGTCATTCCCGTTTTTGCCGCCCGACCAGAAATCGCCGACGCCACGTCCGTGTCACCCACCGCCCGGGCAAGCATGCCCGCTGCTGCTGCTGCTGCTGCTGCTGCTGCTGCTGCTGCTGCTGCTAACGACGGCGACGGCGACAGGACTACCGCTGCCGCCAACGCCATTCCCGTTTCTGACACTCAACCAGAAATCGCCGATGTCGCGCCCGCGTCGCCCCCCTCCCTCCAAAGCGCGCCTTCTTCCACTGCTGCTTCTGCTGCTGCCTCAAAGGACGGCGACAGCGACGAGACCACCACTGGCGCCAATACCAATTCTGCGTACACCATTACCTCTGCCACTGCTGGTTCCGGTACTACTTCGTCTGGAGCGGGCGAGGCACCAGTGTCAGTTCCGAACTCGTGGACGGTGAAGACGAAGCAAGGCATGCGCGACGACAACGGCGACGGCACCAGCGACAACAACAACAGCCACGGTAACGGCAGCAACAACCGCAACAACAACAACCGCAACAGCAACAGCAGCAACAACAGCCACAGCAACGGTCACAACAGCCACAACAACGGCCACAACAACGGCCACAACAACAACAACGACCGCAACGGCAACGGCAACCGGAACTCGTACTCCCCGCCTGACCAGCAGTTCCACAAGGACAAAGTCTTGAGGTTCGGAGCGGTATTGTTTGGCAAACTGTTAAGCCCGCGGAAGACAGAGATGGTTAACGTCGCGCCCGCCGATGGCTCCGTAGTGTTCGCAACCTCCACCGGAAAGGTGCCCCGGGATGAGGAAGGGCGGGCAACGGGTCCCCTCCCGCAGAAGCGGCTGACCCTCCTCGCTGCCAACGATCGACTGATGGCCAAGATCGAGGATTTTCGTTCCGAACTTATCCTGCGGAGGTTGGTGAAGAAGATTGCTTTGCGTGAGGGTCGGACACTTGAAAAGTCGAAGAT